ACGCACGTTTTATGTTTGGAGTTATTAAATTAAATGTTTCCGGTTTAACTAAGACGTGACGACTTGGAACAACAGACTTATATTTTCATAGTTAATTGAAATAACTTGAAATGGTAAACAATAGTAAGTATTTACTAAATGAAGTAGACGGTTAAATTGATTCGTTTCATCTACTTTAGATGTTATCTATTGTATTTCTAGAATGTAATTGCAGTTAAAATGCATATATTACCTGTGCTGTTTACCATAAAATGATATTTCGTCTTCGTCGTAGTGTCGTAAACATGTAGGTTTTATGTCATCAGGATACTAATTAAAATTGTAAAACGGCACCTGTTTCTTCTTAGGTCAGTGAAGTTTCTTTGTTCTTTTTTTAGCTTTAACCTTACTATGACCATGTTCGTATTTTTCATTTTTGCTAAATTTATGAGGTTACTGAATCTATTAATTGAAAATAAAAATAAAAAACGATATTAAATATGATGCGATTTACGTATTTGTAGATATCATAGTAATTTATTACTTAAACTGATACTTGAAGTTAGTTTGAAGATAAAATTTTGACTAACTAAAATTTAGTGATAATTCTTTTATTTAAGGAATGATTATGAATTTAATAACAATTAAACTTAAGGGACGATTAAAAGAAATAAAAAATTCGTCTAATAACTGCGATTTAATTGAACAATTGTTACATAACAAAGATGTACAATATATCGAACGGTTTTAATTCGTTTACGTGCCAAATGCATACGTTACGGATATTACAAGAGCTGAAGTTCTAAATTGCATTGCAAATAACATATACACGTATTGTGAACAAAATGCTAGTGATGAGATCACTTCATGAATCATGTTTCACTCCACGACTTCTCTTACAAGCGATCCAATAAAATTTCATAGTGAGAAGTGATAAAATGTTTTACGTCATTTTAGTTTTACGCGATACCGACTTAAAAAGCGCCGAAATGTTACTACGGTCACAAGAGGAAGCGGGCAAGTATTTTTCATAGAACTACTATATACATTTTACACTAAACTTTTGCCGTTTCATGTGTTTAAATCACTTCAACTACTTTTTTCATTGCCCGCTATATAAACTGTTTCTAGGCCTTCTCTAGGAATTCACAGGAAGCAGCGAAACGAGCGGAATAAATAAATTACTGTAACGAATTATCTCTCGTGTCTAGATATAGCGATTTGTAATTATCCGAAACGAGACGAATCCGTTAACTTTGAAATGAAATACCAACAACTTAAGCATGACGTCTATATGGCGCCTTGCAAAGCTAATTGCATTTGATTGAAAATGAAAACGATAAACAAAAATATGTCTATTAATGCGCAAAAGTTGTTGTAATGAAATAAAGTAATACATATATAAAACTAAACACAAATGTATTATTTAGTCTTATGCGTCACTTGCCACAATTATTGTCTATTCACAGCACTTGCATCTCCGCAATCCACTCACGCGCAGGCCAATGAACCTATTGCATTTTCGACACGACTCGATACTAAATATAGAATGTTACGTAATACGTTAAATAGCAACAATTGTGGCCTTGAACGACAAAAAGTATGTCGTCTTCGGCGCCATAACCATTCTCGTACATACTGCCTGATGGCAGACGTGCGGCGTGCGGCGTGTTGCCTCACACATGCTATATCACTATAACTATTGACATTGACTCGGTATAGCAACGGAAGCATATGGCTTTTTACGGTCACTCTAAGTTCATTATCAAAATCACTTACTACGTAATGCTAAAGTGGGACAAACTGATTGATAAGCTACAGTACCGTTTAAATTTTATTCCGCAGTAAAAATTCTTTAAACGCTCTATTTTACTTTAAAAATATTACTATATTTGCATATAAAATACTATTACCATTTTTAAGTGTTAAATTTTAATGATGGGACTATAACTTTCTATTACAAATAAAAGTTAATATAAAGTTAAATTTGGCGCCAACACGTACAGATGTGGGCCGGCTTCTCTATGACAGTCACGTTCACAAATCTGGCACACTGTTTATACTACACTCCGCCACGGGCTTGCCTCGTTAAATTTTTATTGCCACAAGGTCGCCACTTTATGGTCAATTCTCAGCTGTTATTGTTCGCGGGCGGAGTTTTTTTTCCACTAGTCTCAAACGCCTTGTAACGGTAAAGTTACGATTGACAGCGATTATCTCATAATTGTTATGGAGCTATAAAATGATTTTTATAAGCTCTAAAAGCATAATCTGTTCTGTTTGGTCGATTACTAAAATATATTGATGATAAAGGTGTATTAATGCGGCACTATACCGTTGAGCGTATGGCCGCTATAAATTTACGTATGCGACTGTTTTATATCGCGAATTTATCTAAAATACTGTGGGAATCCGACGCGAGTTTTAGCGGGCTAGTGCAAGTAAAAACGTCCGGCCAACGAGCTGGCGCCAACGAGCCAATCTCCATTGGGGCATGTGATAGCAATGCGATGTTTTGACTGGGAATTTGGCGATATCGAGTTTTGTAAAACGACCGCACGGTGTTGAGTAATAAAGCAATTTGCGAGCGTGCCAACAAAACAATGGGCCCGTTCTTAGTTTGTTTTAACAGCTTTCGACACCGTGATTTAAAACCCTTTGACTTATACCTTATTTGTAAACATCTTGTTAGCACAAAGGAAGGCAGTTTTAACAATAAGAGAATTTGCACAACCCTATTGCCGTGAACTGTTTGTTGTCCTTATTTCTCCAAATCCTGTGAAAGTAGAAAGCAAAGCCATAACGAAATAAAGGGTTGTATTTTGAAAACAACGGCTTAGTCAACGAGAATAGTTGTTAAGTAATTTAACAATTGTATTACGTTAATTATTTAATAACTCTTTTTAATGATTGGACTTAAAGTAATTATGTTCTGTTAAAAATATATATCCTTTAGCATACGTTTTGTACACGAAATGCACGTTTCTGTTGACAGATATGCATTTATTGACGACGTGGCTCTTTTTGACTAATGTTCTTTGTTTTTTAAGGAAGTAAAACTTAATATTCATCAAGTCTTCGTGTATGCAATACAAAAATCTGGGGATTCCCCAACGTTTTTACGATCTACTATGAAATTTTATTTAAGGCTTACAAAGAATTAAGTCGAAAAGTTGTCATAGCAACATACAGAGGTACTAAGTTTTTAATTTCATGTTCTGCTGCATATTGGTTCATAAGTGGATAGCAAATTTAATTCTTTAACTGGACCTTGTCACAACACTGGACACCTTCATCGCATAAAAAAGTAGAAACTATAATCAAAGACTACTGTAGCGCTTTCTATACGATTTCTTTTTAATTGTTCAGTTCTACTCCTTGCCTATTGTCTATGGAGAAAGTTTTCATACAATAGTTACCTTTATAAACCCTTTATTTGCTTTTTGTGTTTTTTCGCCAGGAATAGGTAACTGTTCGCCGGCATTGTAGGAAGCTCTTTGTTGCAAAAGGTAAAAAAGGTAGTTAAAACCGACATTTAAGTTTTTAGCGCGAGAATGTGCAATTCCAGCTACGGTGGATATTTTTTTTTATCCTGTGTTTCGCGTTTATATAAATTAAAGTTTATATTAAAATGTAACATTTAAATATTACTTTTAATCATATTTATATTATAGGTTACTTTATGTTCTTATTAGTAGTTCTTTGATTTCTGCCTATTTATACTTACCTTATTCTAATCCAAGGTAGGCAGTATAATTAAATTATCATAGCAAATGTAAACTAAAGCTTTATGTAACTAAATGTTTTTTTTTTCATATTTTTTTGTCGTAAAAAATAGATCGCAAATCCATGTGGCTCTAATAACTTAAAATTATACAAACAACTTATTCAGTAGAACATATTTAAATCAATATGTGTCTTATTTTCTAACAAATTAAAAAATTATAGGATTAAATTACACTCTTAGTATACTTGTATACATACATATACGGAACGCAAAAGTAAGTTATAATTATCAATTTGTACCGTACGTTATACTGTAAACTTTAAACACATTAAGAATAACAAATAAAAACATATAAACACCTTCTCAGAATTAAATAACCTTTTTAATTAACAGCGTATTTTAAGTTCCGGAATGATGTTTGTGATGTAAATTGCAATGATTCAACTAAGCAATGTCAAATGAATAATTGCAACAAAACATTACAGAAGGCGTGGATGAAAGCTCTGTCAGTCTTTACACATGAACTTCAAATGTCTTTATAAATAGAAGTGATTTTAATAGTTCATTCACGTTACCAAGTTGTACCTTATACCATTATATTCGAAATTTGAATTTCGAACGTCATGTAGTTTCCAAGAATGCTACAATAAAGGAGGTTGTATGTGGAATATTTATGAGATGTGTATTCCTATAGAATGTAGACTTGAGAGGGTAATTTACATGGGTTTTTAAATTCTCTCATGCAAATATAAACGATTATTTTAACACCATTCTTTTATAAAATAATTATATGAAAACAAAATAATGTGTATAATTGAATATCATCATTTTACATAAATTCATATCATAATGAATTTAAGAGCCAATTATCTTATTAGGACACGTTATTTAGTAGCTTATTATCACATAAACAATTATAATTAAAAATTATATAACAAATTTAAATGACAAAAACTAATTAGTTTACTTTTGCAATTTTTTTTATAACAAAAGAGGCAAACGAGCGGCGAGAACACCGATATATTGTATTCTGTAACAGAAACTTAGCTTTCTGGTGAACTAGATTTATATTCCGAATACTATAAGAGAAGAGTTAAAGATAACGTATCATTATTTATGTATACCTTACACACCTGGGTGGTCCCTTTGTAATGTAAAAATTCTCTATCAAGAATCTCGAACTGTTAGAACGATCGAAGAGCATGTGTAGAGACTGGTGACCTTTATTTCTATATAAATAAGACTTAAAACTAAAAGAAAATAAAATTGAAACGATAAATACCATTGAACTCACCGCAGACCACGCGGTCGAAGGGGCTCATCCAATCTGGAAATGGAAAATCTATTATCAATTGTATTGAATGTTCATTGTTTCGGTAGAGTCGCATGCACAACATTAGAAAAAACTAGAAAAAAAAACAAACTACGACATATTTTTTTTTTCATTAAACACCAAAACCTGAAAAATTGAACGATAGATTATTATTATAGCTAGCATTTTATGTATTGATTTTGGGACATAACATTGTTTTTCTTTTCGTTATTTTTTTAATAAAACAATTAACACAACAAAAGTTTTGGTCCCAGTAAATATTAACTTTTAAAATTTTCAGTCACTCACGGTTTCAGAGCAAAAATTATAGATTGGCTAGCTTTCGCCCGCAACTCAGTCCGCGAGAAATAACAAAAAAACAATAGTAAGTAGCCTATGTGTTCTTCCAGACTAGGTATTACATCTAAGCCAAATTTCATCGAGATCCGTTCAGCCGTTTAGGTTACAAACTCTAACAAACATCCATACATCTAAACTTTCGCATTTATAATATTAGTAAGATTAAATATTAAATTTGCTGTCTATAACATAATGGAATAAAGCAATTATCATTAAAATTGTCTGTCTTATACAGATTTATTAAAACATTAACATTAATTTTATATCAAAGCAGTTATAACGTGGGTGGCGGCTATATGAATAACCGAATCGAATATAAAATACCGTAAGAAAAGGTTATTTTTACATACGAGAAATTGATGAATACTTTGTACAATTTGTGCGATAACTTAAAAAGTGCATTCGAAAGGCGATAAATACTAAAGTAATATAGTTAGTGGACTCAGAATTTTCAGCACGGATTTAAAATAAACTCTTGTACCAAAATAAAGCCTAAGTTAGTCAATAGTAATGTTGTTATTAAAGGATTTTTTTTTAAATCGTTCTCTATTTGAGTTTTTGAGTTTATGCATTACATACAAAAGTACAAATAAATCTTATTATACAATAGTATGGTGAATTATATAGATTGTTTTGTAGGAAAAAGTGTCTCTACACTTTTTTAATTAAGATTTTCCTTAAATTTTTTTGCTGCAGAATTGTTGGTACTTTTTGTAAAAGCATGTCTATGCTAAAGGTACAATACTACGTGTCAATGTTGCAACTTTGAAAATAATGTTTAATTACATGTTATCGAATCAACCCTTTATCCAAGTAATGTGGGACAATTATGCAGGCTTTAATTAAGCCAGGTTCCTCAGCACTTAATTTAGAGTTGTCCCGCTATCAATCGGAAACGTAAAATGTAAACGAATACAATCGTTAATTACCTTTAAGTGCACACAAGTCGATTAGGTCGTAAGCGATGCATCGATATCCAGCATAAATAATTCACTCGTAATGATAATAACAGTCTTTTAAACCGATATTTTTGAGCGTAAATTTTTAAATGTTGCAACTCTAAAAAGGTTTACTACCTCTAACCAGGCGTCATATTTCACTAATCGAGATAGAAGTTTAATAATGTTGTTCCCGCAATTCATGTTTTTATTTATGTATTATGCTTCTTAATTTGAAATTTCAATAAATAACATAGATAACAGGTGGGTAGTTTGATAAAATAACTCTATCAACCGACATAATTTCCCGCAGATTCCGTTTCTTTTTTAAATAATTAAGAATGTTAATTGACTTTTGACATCCATAATTAATTGCAATAGTAGAGGAGTTTCGAATATTTAACAACTTCAACGATATTGCTATATTTCAATTGGAAAAATATAAAAAACCAAACTGCACAAAAAAATAAAGACCTTTATTATTCTCAATATTATTGCCTTATTGCCTTATAAATAATTATTATTAATACTTAGTATATTGTAATATGGAAATGATATTTGTTCTTAGGCGAATAGTGATAAAGTAGTGAGTAGTGAATACGCTATTTTGTAATCAACTGTACTTGTGTACAAGTATACTTCAAATCCTAGATTAAACACACTATAGTGGATACAGTGTTGCAAGAGTAATTAATAGCAATCAATAGCATGCAGGGCAATACAGGCTGGGTTTGGGTGCAGCGCGATTGGTTGCCGGCGGCCATGTTGGGTCGGCGCATGCGCCCCGCGCGCGGTCCCACACGTGACTGGCTGCCTTGCCACCGATAGGGTTCGCATTATCTCCGGCCATTGTTGATTTTATACTTTGATTGATACCCAAAGTAGTTCACAAAAAACTTGTTTTACTGCTTCTATATGTTTCTATTATTGATTAGAATTACTTCTCACTTAATATAAACCGATAACTTTGCTAATATAATATTAATTACTTAATTATTGCTTGTTAAGTTAGAAATAAAATGTTTTTATTGAAAAATAATTCTGTATCATGTTTCGTTTAAGAAATAGGGGCATGAGTTATTTTATAACACGTTTTTAAATTTTTAACAAATTACAAGTTCATAAACGCGCTTATAAAATTACAATTTGTTATTATAATTATTAATTCAAGTTCAAATTAAAGTCGGTTAATAAATTTGATTGAAATACGATAATAAAGGCAGCTGGAAATGACGCATTCGACTGGCAACACCACTAGTCAGTAACGTGGCCGCCATCTTATTTTCGAGCACGTGGTGTCGCAAGCACCTGCCGCAGTATTTTCGTCCCGAATCAAAGCGAGACGGATACATCGCCTCGATGCTTCGGTCATTTTTATAATCTAACATTAGCAACAAATCACATAAATAGTCGTTTATGAAACAAAAACAAGTCGGTTATAGGCTATTTGAAATAATTCGAGTGAGCTACGAGCCAGTTACGATGGCACATCGGCTTTGATTATGAGGTTCTTTACGTGTTGCGTTATTGACGACGGACATGTGCCAGGAAGGTCGATCTCTGATGCGGAAAAATCTTTATGATTCACACGTTGCTACATGAGGAAATAGTTCTTTTCACGAATAACTCATCTAGCAGCTACTTTAAGGGTTACGTTCCAAAACATTTATGTAATTTTATGTAGTCTAAAACAATTTAAATTCTAAAGTTAATAATTTCAACAAACATGTCACAGAATTAAATGATTTAATTTTATTAAATTGAAACGTAAATGTAATACAAAATAAAGTTGGAAACAAGCATTAACCGTATTAAAGTAATCAATTATTAAGTGGTATTAAAAATATCTATAGGTAGGTTATAAGTTTTCTCTGTGAATCTTCAGTAAATAAAAAGTCATTAACTTAAAAACAAAAATAAAGTTTGATGTTAAATCTATTAAAAAGCTTATTATTAATAAATAGACATCTTCTATCAAGTTCAACTCATTTTGTATTATTTTAAATTAAAATATTGGGAGATTAACTATTTTTATTTACTTGTAGTAATAGATCAAATTAATAAAAAACTCTCATATAAAAATAAACCCATTTTATACCTACATACCTACTACTTACTACATATGTCGACCATGTATTTTTTTTATTGGCCGATATGTTTTAAAACTATACCTTCATGTAAATTGTACTAATAGAAAAATATATAAGTACTAGCTTTCGCCCGCGACTTCGTACGCGTGGAATTAAAAAAACAAAAGTGAGTATGTGTTCTTCCAGACTATCCTCTACGTCTATGCCAAATTTCATCGTGACCCGTTCAGCCGTTTAGGCTACATACTCTAACAAACATACATCTAAACTTTCGCATTTAAAATATTAGTAAGGTTTAAGAAACAAGGATGTTATTCTATATTATAATCACATCGACAATACACTAGAAGGAATATAACAAGTCATAAGTGTTGGAACATTGCCATTGACGCCTTGCCCTCGCGCATGTTGGATGTCTACAGAATTCTGATACCATTGCAACATTCAATGAACTCTAATAGAAATGATATATAATATCTGACAAATAAAAAAATCCTTCTAACTGTAACATAAGCTTGGGACAATTTAAACGAATACAATTACACTTTATATTTTTAAATCATTTAACTAAATCTTTCCTCATTTACCTGTCTGTATGTAATATCGAAAAAAGTCATATTTCCATTTCGCGTACATAATGTATATGCGTAGCTCATAACGAAAATCGGATTTAAAAAATAGACTCTGTATGTATATCCGCAAGCCGCTTTTGTTCTATATAATGTCCCAAAGTGTTGGACCGTTTTTGACGTAACTTTCACTGAAGAGTAGTTGACGTGAATGGGTTTATTCCATTTATTTAGTCTGTAATAATTAATATATGAAGGATCTTTTTTGTAATTCCGCGCCGACCGAGCCGAGCGTCACCATCGCCACAGTGTACAGTAATTTAAGTTGACTACTAGCGACACCTATCTAAAATTATTACGCGACATCACGATGTAGTAATGCGATAAAAGATAATAAAACCGCGAATAAAACTAATTGTGCCATTGTATTCAAAGCGTACAGGTTGTTAAATACATTAATGGGCGGCTGTTTTTGTGTACAAAGTGGACCCCACATGTGTGCGACATGCGGAATGCAATCTACGTAGTCTACTAAACGTGTTCGATGTCCTAGGTTAGTTTTGTTTGTTACTATTTAAGGTCAAACGATAATACGGTTACGAGATAGAGAATGGTAGAGTTCATTTCTTATCTTTGTTTGTATAATTGTAAAAGAAATATGATATTTGGACCTAAATTATTATCGCAACTGTTATATTTGAGATGGTTTAGTTTTAAAGTTAATCCGGTGATTATTTAGTTGATATAGTAAATTAGTTATTGTCAATATAGGATACTAGAATAATTAATAAAACACTATTTGCTTTTAATGAATGAAATAATTTGCGTGATGATATGAATAGAAAAGTTTTACTAAATTGAGAACTCTATCATAACATTTTGATATTATTTAATAAAGAAATAGATGTAATTTAAATAAGTAATTATATTGTATGATGCTTCTTTTTTTAAATCACTTAGGTAATAGTTTTGTCACTTTCCTATGTAGGTGTACAATTCTAAAAATGACCCTAATGTTACCCTAACTTGAAGAAACCTATTCGCTTTTGATGTGTAGCTGCAAATGTAAAAAATATAAAATAAAAATATAATATAATTTGAATATGATAAAATTAAATTGAAAACTATCTACTCAATTAATAATTTCTTGTAAAGTTAATTCATTTTCAATATTGATTAATAATTTTAAAAGGGCGCAAAAAATACCTATATGTATCATAAACTGAACCATGTACTATTAGTTAAGGGGAGGCTGAAAACCAGTGCGGCCTTCAGTGACAAGCTGGAGACCGCATCAGCTGAGCCTTCTTCTTTTGGCCAAGAATTCTTTTTTATTAACATGTTTTGAAACTTCTGTTTTTTTTTTTGTAATTTATTGTTCAATAAATAGTGTTTTATTTTATTTATTTCATTTATTTATATAACAATAATTTTGGTCTTGAAATAAATCATTCGAACAACGAATTTAATTGCCTCATTGTAGAAAAATAAGAAAAAATAAAGTGCATAAAGATTTATTTCCATTTATAACTTTTATGATCATTACTTTATGCAAAAGTTTATTTATATTCCAAGATTGAAATCCAAACAGTAAGATTCTTTGTATTTAAATCGTTTTGTTTCTGTTAATTGAAATAAATGTCGAAATAATTCGTTAGGGTATAAAACATTCCGCCGTCGCCGTCGGCGGGAAAATATCTCTGCGTTGTTAACGACTGTGAATACGATGCGGAACGTGAAACTTTACAATTAACTTCTTATCTACATTTTAAATTGTGAATGTGTGTAATTAAACACGTAATTAAGGAATCGGTAACGCGTCAACATAATTTTCTTATAAAATATGGAGTCCTTTTAACACGAATATACCTATAAAATAGTAGTTAATTAACTATTTTATTGCATTTATATTGGTTTTCATTCTTATCTACGATTAATATAATTTAATGAACAATCAATATCAATAGCCAATTAATAAAATATTCTTATTGCTTTTAATCGGTTATTATTGTTTATCTTAGGCGATATACGTTTTGAGGTATTCTGTAAAAAATGTATCTGAGTACTTAATTCTGTAATTAATGAGTATATACTGAGTTGCAGGATTTACCGCCTTTCGGATGCCGCTAAACACATTATATAATATATTCTAAAATAAATAACCAGGAACTTGGAAATACATTATTAAAAGCGCGTTTAGCAATGTATTGACAAAGTAAGGCGCGAAAACAAATTAAACTCACATAGGTACTAACATTAACTACAACTATTAAAATAATGTTTTTGATGTAAATGATTTCAACGCGTTTGACAAACGAAACCAAGCTCAAAAATAAAATCAAAACTATTACTTTGTACAGAATTCATGAGGACATGCAGTGAAGAGAACATACCAGTGATAGACATCCACGGGTAGCGCGGGATGTCGGGCAGCGGCTGTGCAGAG